ATACTACAATGAACTAGAATTCTCGATTTGAGTTGAAAAAAATTTAGAGATGAGCTACAGAATTAGACTTAAAACACTACCAAATATCTAAGTTGGTGGTATTATAAGACCTTTTTTTTTCTGATTTTTCTATTTTCAGGTTAATGTTAATAATAATGACGAATTATGTAGAGAATAGGCTTCAGTCATGACATAAGTCACGAGTGACTATAACGCTCGCAAACGAGTTATAAAAACTCTAGGAAATGACCTACTTAGATCGTTTGCGTTCTAGAAAATCTCTAGCAAACGAATTATGACCCTGTGTATTTTCCTCAAACAATTTTATAAGTAGTCTGCGTGCAAAGCAATCGCAAGCTTGTTGTAGAAGTGAAATACTCAAATTGTTGTTGTACCACTTAATGTCCTTTATCTGTCTTGCTACTCTTTACCACAACATCTTTCTATTTTTTTTATGTAATTTGCGCTGATAACGTACGTAGTACCATAGTGAAAATAGATGTCACTCTACCTCTCATACGACGTTGTAAAAATTCTAGAAATGAGCTACCCAGGTCATTCAACATACTGTTAAATCTCTAGTAAGTGGCTTCTTATCCAGCAATTGATTCTTTTTTGTATGTGTGACATTTTTACCCTTTCTTTCAACTAGAGATACTAACGAAATTAAACAACTCGACAAGTACTCTGAATACTTGCTGGACGAGTTGTGCAATTGAACTCTTCAGATTGTTTCTGTATTGCCTAATATCTAGTAACTGAGATCCTAACTGTAAGTCCTAGCTCTTTGATATAAAATGCAACCCAAAATTAACGTCACTTTAACTCCTTGTGACTTCAATGCTCGCGGATGAGTTAAAAATGTTACGAAATGAATTACTTAGTTACCAGCTTACTACCAAATATCTAGTAAGTGGACTTCTTATACCCGTACATTCGTCTACGTTTTTCTTGTCAAATTTTGGATGATTTTTCGAGTTTAAACAAAATTTTAGAAATGAGCTGTCTAAATAGTTGTCACACAAAACAATCTCTGATAATTCTTATTAAAACCCGTTAGTGTTCTATTGTTATTATCACATTATTAACCTTTTTGCTCTTTCCTATATTACGAACTCTAAAAGGAAGTTATTCATGGAAATCAAATCTCTCTTAACTACGAGTTAGTTCTGAATAATCTCAACAATTTCCGTGGAAATGAGCTTAAACAGTACTTTTAAAACTAGTGAGGCATTCCAAATCAAGGCATTCACTCAGTTATATTGTAATTAATGATGGCAAGATCAGCATGTAGACTAAAGTGTCTTATCATATTAGAAGCATGGCCAGCTTTTCGACTTGTCATGGGCCTATACCCTAAGAAAGTTCTCTCACAAATAATCTTTTATTCTCCCCATTGAATTTCGAGAAATTTTGGCTCATTTCCATTACCACGGCACTTCAATCTTTGTACCGATAAGAGTGACTTCGCAATTAGCCTCGTCCTCGCGTCGTAATTTCGGCAACTGTACTTAGCCGCGTTCTCGCGCCGTAATTTCGGCATAGGATCACTGAACCGCGAGTCTTTGGAAGTGGTCTAATTACAAAAAAAACAAATAGGCAAAGAAAACCGGAGAAGACAAAACAAGAGGAAGATAAACTGCTGCTACATCCCTACTCAGATATAGCGCAATATGTTCTACTCCAACTATAGGTTGTTACCACATAATGATTCAGTCAACAAGTTTACTAAGTAATGTTGACATTAAATTTAAGAAAAAGAAATTAAAACCAGATTTTTCTGACTAAGATGATATCATAGACAGTGTGTATTGATTACTAGAATTATTTTTCTCCTCTTCCTTGAACTTTTTTTAGTTATTCTCTAACCCTCACGGTCTTCATACTAACGGCAATGTTTTTGGTTCTTGAAATCTGTCTGAGGTAAAGGAAAAACGCACGCTAATCAGTGAATGCAAAAGTTACTTATCGATTAGTTGTTTGTTTGATCTACCGACCCTACTGAGTTACCAAGGGGTTAAAAAATTTAGGATAGAGCGACGCTGTGTGAATGGCATCACAAAAGTCGCTCTTGATTCAGAATATTTTACGGGTTCAAGAAACTAACAGTTGAAGTGATCAGGAGTCAGCTATTCATGCATAAACACGGTATTTCATCAGAGATTTTCAACCTTCATCTCAAATCTTACACTAATTCTATAAAATTAGAAAGATACATGTAACAATCAAAACACAAGTTCTTCAGAGGGATTTGCTTTCCCTCACCCCTTTAGTCGGCGGTATTTAGCATAAAAGCAAACATAATAAACATTTACCTTGGTTCGAAAACAAAGAACTAAAGCCTGGTATCAAACACCTCTTCTTCCCCTGAATGAAATAAGAAAAGAGATAGAAATACAACGCGATCATTTTTTTTAAGCGATACAGTAATAATTTGCACAAATACAGAAAACAGAGCTGCCACTTATTAGAGCTCATTGAATTTTTGCATATCTGTGTTGAAGTGTTTTGAAAACTGAGGTACACAACATCACAGTCACTATTTCCATCCAATTAGCTGTGGTAAGTGGCGGCTATGTTTTCTGTATTTGAGAAAATTATTAGTGTGTCGCTTTAAAAAAACAAACAAAAAAACACGTAAAACGGCTTCATAAACTCATAAATTTTGGATTTTAGCATTGTATAAAAAGTTATGGCTCTTCGTTACGAGAAGGTGTAATAATTCTCAAGTGGTATGGTTTTTTTTCAATAACGTCACCTCCCGATGTGAATCGCGACCTTTCGACTAAGCACTTCAAGTGTTCTTCTAGTAATAGAGCGGAATAATTATGTGTCACCTTATGAAGCATTGTGTGGACCAATTTGAGTTTATCTCTTCTGATTTGTAAAAAAAAATTACCTTCTTCTGCGACATCCGTGCCAGGCTCATGCGCTTTCTCTTCTTCTTCAGCTTTTCTAGCTTCTTTATAAAATGATTTATTTGATATAAAAAAAGTTTGTATTCAGTCATTAAATCTTGTCTTTGTACTTAGGAATTAAAATCGTTAATGTTTCCCCAATTTCTAAACCAGAATTTTTCTAGTGACTACCAAGGTAAAATAGATGTTTTACTATTCATAAAATGCCTTAATCTCTTCAGTAACTAATCAAAAACTATTATCTCCTTTACCTTTGTTACTAGGAACTGAAATCTCTTCAATCTCCACCTGCTCCTCAGATTCACCAGCTGTGTGAAATCAGATTCATTGTTAAAATCTATGAGGTTAGATAACGCAGCCCATTGCCCGCTATTAAGCCTGCAAATTAGTCCAGGTGCTACTTACACTGTAGGCTGAAATAAATGAGACCCTTGGGGGACAAATTTTCAGTTCCTAAAAAGCATTTCATTGTTTTTACCTTTTTCAGTTGGCTTTTTAGGTTCAGGCTTACTTCCTCCTTCTTGATCTGCACCTAGATATTTAAGATATATTGTATTCAATTTTTGTCCTCGCATTCGACAAAGTGATTGATATTTTGGGAGGATCACTAGGGACAGGGCACAACTTGAATATGCAAGATTTTTGAAACAGTCAGCCGTGCACTTTTATCACCTCTTAAAAACCTTGGTTGGAGGCCCCCAATTTACTCTATCATTAGCTTCTTTTTTGCCTCCGTTACCTTACAGGATGAGTTAGTCACTATAGCTTACAAGTAGCTACCCCTGAACTTTACAAAAATGTAATTCTATCAAAGCAATGAACCAAAAATGATTAAAATCAGGCTGGTGCTGGCTTTGTATCAGAAATGTTTCACAAGTTTCCATTAAATGTATCTTGACGATAAAGAAAGTGAAATATTGTACATATTGAAATCTGCCACAATCGCTCTATATTTCAACTATTGTATCAGAAGCTATAAGTTACACTGAAGAGGAGTGTCCATTATTACAAAGGCTCTTGTAAGTACCTAAATCTTCGATCAATACCGGTAATTTTTTAGACCTGTTTTCAAGTCAATTTCAATTGGAACTAATGGTTTCATAAAACTAGGCAATTCTCAACATAAGAAACTTCTATTAGTGTGTAGAGACACTCCTACCTACACAAGATGTCAACTATTACCTTCTTTTTGCTGGCTCTCGCCCTGATCAACAGTTACTGCAATGAAGAATACTATTCATTTAAATAAACTACAAAATTTCTCTACAAACCTACTTTATTTACATTAGATGTCCATATGTATTCAATTATTCATTGATTGATGAAATATCTCTGAGTTACAAAGCTCACATTTAAATCTGCAAGTTAATTTATGTGCTTGAAAATCTACCAAATACAATTATTAAGATGCATTGCCTTTCTTCCTTTTGGCGATTCTTATGACCGGTTGTAAAGTGCAATATGCAGTTGAAGTCACATAGTATAACTGTGACGTTTGCAGTACTACTCTTGTAAATAAAGCGGTTGTCTTTTATATTTCGTTCATAAATGGATTTTTTACCTGAGGAAGATGAACTCGCATCCCCTCCACAGGCTTGTTCAATTGCTGTCAACAGCGCAAAGAGTTATTATTCATACAATATAACTGAAAACTGGAAACAATGAATGATCATTGTCAATATATACGCTTCATTTATTTACTACAATCTTGTCATATGGGAGATGGTGGTATCTACCTTCCATAATACACTGTACAAGTTTCTAATGTAAAGGAATGGGGATCTTATGAGTGGAGGTGGTAAAAGTGTATAAGGCAATTTATCACCAGAATGTCTGAAATAACTTATCAACCAAAAGTAATACAACCGAATATCATCACATTTGTGGCATATGGGAAACCCTTCCTAAATCTCTCCTTTCTCAAAATGCAGCTTCAGAAACTATCAGAGCAGAAAATGAATGCTAAGGTTTCCGGGTATTTTAATTTGAAAGAGCTAATATGTGGTAGAATTATTGATTAGGCTAAACATACCTGGCAAGAGAGTTGAATTACAAAGTCAATTACAGCATTGCCGCTAGCATCTAAAATTCTATATTTATTTTCTGACCTGGTTGCTGAGCAGGCAACTCAGGGGCTTCCACTTCTGGGATTTCGTTGTGTCCTATTACCTGCATTTCAATTTGTTCTCCTATGGGGAAGGAAATGAAAAAAAGGAATTAAGAATGGAAAAAAGAAGAGAAAGAAAAGTATTACACACAGAACCCTACAGAGGCGTAGTGAAGATTTTTTGCATGTGATTTACACTGAGAAGCACTATATTTTTACCCTCTTCGTCGTTAGCATGTTCATCTCCATTTCCAATCTGTCCCTCTCGATCATTGTCTGCTTCTTTTATATGAAAAAGAAACACCAATAAAAAAATTTTTGACCATTGTAAGGTTTATCACGAAAAATACATTCTACAATTTAGATTTGGACCTTTACCTTATAATTTAAGACACAAGTATACCCTTCATTTTTTGAGAATTGTTAACAAAATGAGTTTTGGCTAATATCTTACTTTAAACAATTTGTTGCAAATGGCACCCGTTTAACTCAACGTTCCTACTACATAGCTTTAGAGATAATAACTTTGAAAAAAATCGAACTGAAATCATGATTTCTGGTTGCGTCGTTGCCTTCATGAAACTTGATTATTTATAACATTGATCCCATCTCTATTTGGAATCACTCTCTTGATTAGTTTTCTCTTTTACGTCTGTTACAACTCTACATATTGCCAGTTGTACCTTTGTGATTTCAATAATTTGCTCAGTTTCTTATTCTAAAAAATTAAAAGATACATGAAGTTATTACGATTTCAAGCTAGTTCCACCCTTTCCCCCTTCAAAGCATTAGGAGTAAAATTGACATAAGCTACTTAAAGAGAAATGAGTCGCTAAAACTCAATTTGATAAACCTTGTAGTTTTTTCATTTCAAGGTTTGGGATATAATTAATGTTATCATGGTATTTTTGAATGGAGCTTAAAACTGTACCTTCCTGACCTTGTCCTCTGCTGAAAATGGATCGAGCATTGGACCACAGCTTCCTCAGTTTTGCTTTCAACACAGCCTGCACCTAGAAATTCGAAATATATGGGATAGTTTATTTCAGATTTTCAAGTAACGTCTTTCAAAGTCACTCTGGTTAAAGTCAACGACGAAGAAGCTAAAAAAAAATCTGTCCGACCATTTACTTTTTTCACGCTTGTTTTGTACGGCAATCGTTACAATTTCAAAATTAACAAAAACTCACATAACAGTAGGCGCTATTCCAAAGTAAGAAAAAAACTGTTACCTGTGGAGTAGAAAGCGTATACAGCAATGGGTTGATAGCTGAGTTGATTGGCAGAGCGAACACTGCTATCCACACTGCCAGATCACCAGGAGGATCAAATGTTTTCTCGACGTGGGAACGGATGCCGATGGAAATGATTGGCATCCAACACAAGAAATCGGTCAGAATAATGAAGAAGACTCTTTTGGCAAGTGCTCTTTCTCTTTTGGCCTGTGCACTTTGTGCTCTTGCTCGTATTTCACGGATGGTTCCATGCCCACCGAGTCGTCTGCTCGACGACCATGATTTCCACAAAATGGCAACATAAGCAACCGTGATGAAGATGAATAGGAAAAAATTCAAAACGATAAAAATGGAAGTGGAGTATTCCCAGCCTTCTTCTAATCGCGGGGAAAGTTGCAGGGGCAGGCACACTACATTATTGCCATAATACCTCTCACTGAAATAGTGCATTCCGGACAAGGGAAGGAATGCCATAATGCCTCCCACCAGCCAGATAACTACGCACATTATGCGGGTCTGCCTTGGTGTAATTCTTGCAAAGGTGTAAGGAAACACGATGTTCTTGAGTCTGTCCCATGCGATTAGAGAAATCATCATCACTGATACCTCACTTGAAAAGACAGACATGGCACCATTGAAATGGCAAAACCAACCGGTGCGCCACTCATAGTCATGCAGGTAGTATTCCCCTGACCATTGCAGGTCTTTTATACCTATGATGATAAGGTATATACCCATGATGCCGTCAGATACACCCAGATTCACCAACATGATAGACTGGACCACATTGTTATCAGGGAAGAAATACTGCCACCCAACTACAAACAAAGACCCTAACAACGAGAGAAGGCCGACAACCCATAGAGTTCTCCTCGGGGCACGGTTGCGGAACATGGAGTGGCAGCTTGCGAAGTTGTCATTGAAGGTATATTCGCAATCCGCATCCTGCCTGAAAAGATCGAGATGGCAGCACATCAGATTGGTGTCCAATGTTCTAGATTTCCAAAAAAAAAAGAAGAATTAAAGAAGAAATAACAGTTGATTATTGCATCGTTGAAAGCTATTAATTATAATTAATTAACTAATATTATAGACTGTCATTAAATGATTGTTTAAAGGGGTGATCGAAGGGAAGGATCGTTATGGAGTCTTACACTCTGATGATGTGCGTCAAATGCCTGAAAAAGCCTTTGGGGAGCTCAGCCATCAAGTTGTAATGCATGAACCTGTAATGTCAAATAATCATAATTTGAACATTTAGTTGGTGTATATCATAATTGACCTGACAAAAAGAACTTGATTTATTCCAAAAAACGAGTTTCCATGCGTAAGATTCATCTAGCTATTGTTAATGTTCAAACAAACTGTCAAAAAAATATAATTAGGAACCCTAACTGAGGATCTTAAATACGGACCCTAGCTTGATATTTTTTCAAATATTTTATAAAATTAATCAGTTAGCCTATGATAAGTCTCGTCTTGCTTTCTTAGGAATTTTTGATGGCCACTGATTTTGTAGACGTGGCAGCCCATTCAGTTGTGTTCGTTCGTTGTATAAAAGCCTCTTTCCGGACTCATCCAGGGAAAAATTACTTCGGTATATTTATATTAACTTCCAAAATTACTATTCACGAGTCTTTCCTTTCACTTCCACATACTCAAAAGAATACTCGCCTACATGTTATCTGATTTCAATATATACAACTAAGTTTAGTTGCCCAGATGAACATCTGTCATTTGCGTTGAACTTACAAAAATCGCAGTTCGTGGGCATAGCTGAAGGTCGTGCTGCTAACGTTTTGTATCTTATTTCCGAAGATATTGCTGAAACGAAGAACGCAATCGTTTGCAATTAGCTCCTAAACGAGGGCTTGCAGTTGTCATATTACTCATCCTAATAAATTTACATAGAGTTTCATTACAACTACATAGATCTCCATGATGTTTGTTTCCGTTTCAATGATATCCACCTTGGCTCACTAAAAGTATGCTAAATAAAAAGGCACATTTTTAGTGCAACATGAATTCAAACAACATTGCTTCGTTGAGCAAGGTAATTTGCACCACGTCTGTTCTACATCATGTTAAACTTGTAAACTAAAATCTCAGAATTTGAACGCTTATTATATTCATTCCATCACTTCAAATATTCTAGAATGTGTTTGTATGAGTTTAACTGTACTCACAGAGCTTTAAGGCTTTTGACACCCTTGAAAATTTTGTCAGGCAGAGCGTCTATTTTGTTCTCCGAGAGATATCTTAAACATGCGAAATGGATAATAAAATAAATATTAACATACAGTAAGATAACATGATTGGGTAGGACAACTTTAATTTGGGCGATAACGGAGTTAACATTAAAAAAAAACATTACTATATACCTTTTACGATCCAGATCATCATGGAAAAAGGTTTAAACTCAAAATGTACTTACAAATCGAATAGCTCTACCAAGCCCTGGAACTGGTCTTCGTGAAGCTTCTCAATTTTGTTGTAGTCCATTTTCCTGCAGAAAGCATAATGGGCAGTTTTATCTTTAACTCTGCTGTTTTTTAGGTAACTTCTGCAGTTAAGGCAGGGAATGGCAATGTTTTCCAGTAAAGCAGCTTCCAATTTTTATATGTAATCTTCAAAGAACACATCAGACATATCTATAATGCACGTAAGATTAAGCACGAAAACTCTCAGTTTATCCCCATGGGCTTCGAGCGAGGTCTATTGTTTAAGGCTGGATTTGAAAAATCGTTTGTGGCTCACTTCTTGCTACAAATTACAAAATAAGTGACAGGGTAGTTTAATCTTGCAATAGAATAAATTCTTAGATATTGGCAACTCGGATAAAAAAGAAACCAGAAGTAAATTATAATGTAAGTTGTCATTAATTAGGAAGTTTTTATAGTCACCGAGTGTTGTTATTTTCAAGAAAATCCTCTAAGAATAATTCTTAATCTTTTGTGCCGATATAAATCTTACTTACAGAAATTCTACTGCTGTAATGTTCCTGAAAATATACGGCGGCAGAGTTCCAAGTTCATTGTCGGACAAATCACTGAAAACAATTATTACCACAGTTACAAAGATTTCGCCTGTGACAGAACTACCAACTGAGCTCATAAAAAATTATAATCGGAGGTTTTTGGCGAAAAACGTTCAGAAAATATCGTTTGCTTGCGCAGTTGCTTCCACTTATTAGTTTATTTCCCATAAATCCCTGATAAATTTTCCCAGGAAAAAAGGTTAATGTTTTAAAATCCAACTCAAGAAGATCCTAGCATATTATGTTGGCTAAGAACGCTATGATAAAAAAATCTGTTTACATTCTCTGGGGAAAACACAAAATAAAATATGTTTCATTAATACAAAATCGAAAAACAGGCTAATCAAGGAAATATCCATCCCCAACATTTTTGGGACGGAAACCTCTCACCGCAATAAGAAAGCAAACAAGTCAAAAAAAGAAAAAAAGCGGTCCAAAAAAAAAAACGTCTTGGAAATATATTCATAACCGACTTTCTTGAGGGAGAAACCTCTCACCGCGATTAAAAAAAAAAAACAAGCAAAAAAAAGAAAAAGAAAAAGAAAAAAACCGGTACAATAAAAAAAAGAAAAAAAAAAGAAATCTGGGAATTGTTATGGTTGCTATTTTAACAGAAGCTTTTAAACTTTTACACCTCACCAAGTACCTTAAAATTGCTAACATAAAATAGCATCCTCAGTTTCAACTGATCAGAGTTACAAATGCAAGCTGGAAAACTTCATGATTTTTCAGCTATGACGGCTGTGCCTTTGTTGACAATATTTTAAAAATGATCATTTAGTTCTACCCAATAATTCTCTTGCTTAAAATTAACAACTATTTCACTTACAGATGTGTCAGCTTGGAAAGGCTGTTAAAAAGTCCGTCTGGAAGACTCTTCAACTTGTTGTTTGACAGATAGCTGAAAAGAATGACAGGAAAAGAAAATTAATTGTTATTAAGTATGCAATCTGAAATTTGTAAGTAAAAATACGTAAAAATGCTAGTCATAAAAAACAACCAAAGAGCATTATATAATCACAGACATAGATTATGTGTCTTATGGTACGGAGAATATTCAAGAGCTACTTCATTCATTTAGTTTTGTCAATATCTATAACAAAAAGAAATTACAGGTCGCCGACAGCTTGAAATTTGCGTGCACACTGAACTCTTTTCCCAAAACATAACCGATGGCTGACTCCCGTGGATTAAGAAAAGAAATCATTAAGCTTGCTATCTAAGGAAATGCCCACGTGGTTCAAAACAAAGAAAGATATCCCATGAAAACAACTGCAACATTCATTCATCAACATTTCGTCATTGTATGTATGATCGTTGTCAATGAAAATTTCAATACAGTAACAAAACATAATAAAGAATGTCTCAATTTTAAAATATGTTATCGGTGCGGATGGGAAGATCATAAAATCTTCAATTGGAAAAAAAAAATTTTCTTTTTAATCGCTTTAATTAGTGAAAGAAAAGAAGAGTATAATACTGGCAGAATCTTTGTAAAAATACACTAACAATCACGAGCTGTGATTTTACAAAAGAGGGGGAAATTCTAATTAATGCTGGAACAATTTATGCAGTTAAAGGGGAAAGCTTGGTATGAATTAACTTACAGCTCTGTCAGGTTTTCTAGGTCTTGGAATAGATCAGGAGGCAATTCAGTGAAGTTGTTGTCTTGCAACCATCTGTGTTGAAATTTGAAAAAAACATGATCTGTACGTAAAATCTATTTAGTTTTATTAATACAGTTATTTACCGCTTTGTTTTATGATCACTGACGGGAAAGGAAGAGAAGAGAAAAGAAAAAAAGTAAATGCAAAAACAAGTACAGACGGGGTGGTAGGAAAGAGGAATGCTGCTGCGTTATGAAAACAGCTTTTCTTGGTGGCTGCATGATTTGATGCACATCAACCACATATTATCTCTGACTATACAATACAACTCAATGGGTGCAATGCAATAGGCAAAAATTCGATCCAGCATACTACCATATCAAACACAATAAAACCTTAGTCAAACGACTCCTATTCCAAAACTCGATGCAGTGCTATAAATCAAAAGGGGCTTTTTTCAGTTCTGAAATTTTAAAACGTGCAATGTACTTTGCGTCAGAAGACAAAGCCTTTAATGTCTCGTACGGATTTAATCAGAATTAAGACCGTTTGGCAACTTTACAGTTTGAATAACTATTTTCAAACTTTTTTTAGTGCTGTCTGTTTATCTATCTCTGTTTTATTTTCACAAGATAATTCAGTAGACCTCGATATGTCCTGATCCAGACAAAGGAATTAATAAATTTTTACCATACATAATTTTGTCTCTGGGATAAGGAATTCCTTTCACAATAGTATTGATACATTAACTTACAGTTCCTTTAGCCTTGTCAAGTTTTTGAAGGCACTTCCATTCAATCCTTTCATGTCGTTGTCATTCAGGCGTCTGCGTTATTTACCACATAAAACTGATCAATATTTTTAAGATCCACCATAAGTTTATCTATCTAGATAGGGGTGTTAATGAAATCGTTCAGGGCTATTGTGGAAAACTGTTACGGATGTCTTGAAATGTGAGCAAAAGCATCGATCTCACTGAGTGAAAAGTTGTTTGTGCTAGGTTCACCCGTAATACTCATCTTACAACATTACTATATATTTGCATTTGACATAGATATGGAAAGTTGTTACTGACGGAAATTTGAATGATTTTTTTATTTAAGGAAGGCACTCCGCGATGCCTTTTATACAGTATGAAATCTCATAAACGGTCAGTCCTGGACAAAGATCCAGAATGCAACAGTCGATGCCTGATTTTTCATAATGTTTGATATAAATTCTTGATTTTCGAAACGAAACGAATAATCTTATAAAACCTGAAAAAGACAAAGACAACAACAAAAAGCAGTTGGAAGCCTTTAGTACTGTTGTGCAGCTGTTCTGAGATCGGAGTTTTCAGCCAGCAGGTGCGAAAGTTGACCAGTGGTATTAACTGTAGGTGAATTTTTTATGTGCTTAAATAGCTACATATTATGAATAAAAGATTTGCAAATTTTGTTGATGTTATTAAGCTTATGATCCTGAATTATCTTTACCCGCGCATCACACAGAAGAAAAAGTTTTACTCACAATTTGACTAGCTGCGTGTTCTTGTCAAAGATTCCTGGAGGTAGGTGGTGCAATTGCATTTCAGACAGGTACCTATCAATTCAACGAAAATTTAGCATAGCATAGTACAGGGCTAGGATGCGTATAAAGTAATAAACAAGATGACTAGTGAAATGAACTCAGTTTAGAAATGCAGCCGGAGGAGTGTGTAGATAACTCAAACTGGTAATTATTAAGATATTTTAACTTGAGATATTTTGGCTTAAAATCAAAATGGTGCGGCCATGTAGATGTCTTATGATATTCTCGCTTGTCAAGATGAACAAGTTTTTTTTCCTAACTCATTTATGCACCCTTCGGCGAAGGAGCAAGCCATTCATAAAGCCTCCACAAGACTTCGTTAGCTACACCGGTCTCTCTGCCACCTTTCAGGCCTTATCCCGTGACAAATGAACTGAACCAGGGTTTTTTTTCTCGGCGGTTCTTCTTCTGATGACTTGTGGTTTCCCCGTTTCCTTTTGGAAGTTTTTGTTCCGAAAAAATATGTAAGGGCTATGAAGTTATCTTTCCCAATTCTTCCCTAATTTTAATTCTCGAATACATCACCGTAGTTTCTTCCTCAGAAGAACCCTCCAAAATCTCCCCTACTCTCAAGAGTGGCCTCTTAGCTCAGTTGGTAGAGGCGCCCTTCAGGGAGGCACGGGTTGGAATCCCGTGGAAGTATGAATTTTCCTTCAGGATTCTCAGTTTCTGCAGTTGGGTAAATTGCAGTTCAACTACGAGGATCATTGCTCAGTGTTTCTTATTGTATGCTCTTTTCTAAAGGCTTCTTAATGTCGCCACAAGATCTGTAAGTCTTACCGTATAATCATAACGTCAAAGGGGAATTTTTTTTGTTTTTCAAGCTAAAATGGTACTCACACTGGTCACATTACAGTTCAATGAGTTTGAAACTACAAAAACAAATTTCGTTTGATCTCTGTCAATAGAGGAAAAATCTACTTACAGCCACGTCAATCTGGTATTTTTAGCGAAAATATCTGATGGCAAAATCTTCAACGGGTTTTCAGACAACTCTCTAAAATATAAAAACCAAGAATTATTAGAAGTGCAACTAGGAACTTGTTAATATTGATCTTTTTCAAGCCGTCAGTCTGGGATTGTCAAGTAAAACATCTACATACATAAATAATTTGTCATGATCAAACCATATTCAATAAATGAATTAGTAGAGGAATAAAAAAATTAATGGTTGTAGATAGCTACTAACTTAAATCGCCTTCTTCGTATGTCAGAATGTATCACTTTATATATGTGAATTACCTACACCTTAAGTTTACCCACGTTAATCCCTCACGAATTACAAGATTATGATTATAAATATAGATATTGACACTGAGTCTACCAAATAAAACGTCGTAATTCTGCCTCTTCTAAAAGATTAAAATATATTAAATAATGATGCAGATTTACATGAATGCCGTGCCACAGATGTAATAAAATGAAAACTGATTGAAGAAGAGTGGCGCTTTATTAGAGTTAAAACTCCGTCAGCGATGGCGCTTTACGCAAGTGGCGACGCAAGCTATTTCACAGCACTGCATCACTTAAACTTGAGCTTGACTCGAAAACTTCTGCGTGGAGAAGTGGAATTATGATCAAACTCTCAGTATTTCTAAGATTATACGAAGTAAGGTCGTTCCTTTCAATAAAATTGGATCTTAAATATTCTAAAGGCTTTCTTTTTTCCTATTTCAGTTCCTTATTGTGGCTTTCTATGATGTCAATTTGCCCTCCACCTTCGCCAGCTTAAATTCGAGAACCCCCTGATTACCACCAACCAGATGGGTTGGTTGGGTCAGTTGATTCTTGATGAGACTGATTTCCGACCGAGTTTTTTTTTTTCCTTAACATTAATTTCACCTTCCGACGAAGCTGTTGGTTGCCCGGGGCCACGCATAAATTTCTCGTCGTCCTTGTTCCCACTTTTGGATACCACCTGAACGTTGCAACTGTCGTTTCTATTTCTTGAAGTTCTGTAGACTTAATGTGTACAAAGTTATGAGCGATTTCTTGAAAATTGCTAGGTGTTACAGAGAGAGACGAGGCCCTTCTTGATACAGGAAGGAAGTGATTGGCATGAATGTAATCGACTTCCACTTCTGTTGGGGAACGCTCATATTTCCACTGCGGCTTTGTCTAGCTGTTTAGGTACTATTTGAGCCTCTGCTGACGGAGCTGCTTGAGGCTTGTCTGAAGTGGATAGCCATCCAAGATTGTGTTTTCAAGCTCTGAAGCGTTGAGGCGTATCTTGTAGTCATACCGCTAAAGTCGCGGCAAAAGCAGTCTGAAGGATGACTTTCTTACCGAACACATACTGGTGGTTACGCTCTTTGCCAACGACAAAGGCCAAAAATTCCTTCCCAATCTGTGAGTACTGCCTCTCTGCCACCGGGAGTGCCCCGCTTCTAGATGTCACTGGTTGACCATGCTGCAATAGTAAAAAGCCAAGCCCATCCTTGGACGCATCTCCTTGGCCCTCTGCTAGTCCACTCTCGTTGAAGTACTTGAGTACTGGTGGTTTTTTGACAGCGTCTTTGATCTTTTGGAAGGCATCTTTTTACTCATGAGTCCAGATCCACTCGCATTCTTGTGTGTCAGGCGGCGTAGTGGCCCTCGCATTTCTGAGAGGTTTTGTAGGAATTTAGACGGGTACCGTATTAGCCCGAATAATCTCTGCAGAGCTGATACATCTGCTGGTCGCTCCATCTTGATTGTTGCATCCAATTTCCTTTGACCTGCCTTCAATCTATTCTTCGTCATCACAGGTTCTTCTTCAGCTTGATGAATTTTTCCCATCAATGGTCTTGCTCTTTTATGACTAAAAATTTGTTTAGCACTCGTAAATTTTGTTCGTTTTGTCCTACACAGTAATTAGTACACATCTTTAAGACTTTATCGATCCTACCTTTATCCTTGGAGGTAAATGGTAAACCAGGATGGATATCAAGGGCTTCTGACCCGATAAATGTGATGAAAGACGCTACTTGTGTAGCTTCGAGCGTAAATCGAAGGTAAATTCCATGTTTGAAGCCAATTTTTCCAATTCTTTTCCAGATCTCCATGAAGATCTAGCCTCGTAAGAACTGAAACATCAGAAGTGAATATTTTCTACGGTGTTTGAGGCTTGGAACGGATGCACTGTCCCTGTCATCTGCTTGCGATGTCATATTTGTCAAGGTTCTGTCGCCGTGTCTCGGGTCAGAATCAGCTTACATTCGACTAAAACACAGGTTAAAAACTGCTATATGTCTTGCTGAGAGTTTCACACGCCACCATGTAGCGTTAGCGGCCCGAAATATCAGAGAAGACAGAGTAAACAGAACTTTGAACAGATTTCATGGCTTCACGAGATCTCGCACCACAGTCCTACCTTTACAAGACCCTCTTACAATTTAGGAGGGAAAACAACAAAACAAGCATAATTCTGTGTAAGTCCAGGTTCAAACTCTGCATTGGACGTTTTTCAGTGATAGTATATTACAAAAATCCTTTTCAGATTTTCTTTAATTGAGAAATTGAAACTTGCGACTGGTATCCACACCTAATTACAAACAGTTATAGTGTAGATGAATAAAATGTTCCCAATCCCACCGTGTGGCGTTAGTAGCCAAAAATATAAAAAGATATAGGGTAAACCGAACTTTGAACAGGTTCGATAGCCTACCAGCTATAAAGCACATGGTTTTATTAGGTCACAATAGAGAGCCTTATTGAGAGAATGGAATAAATGTTATTATGCCTGAGTTTTCTTGTTTTCCCCACAGGCCTTGTGCATTCATCGAAATTTAGCACCTTTCTTGCGCTTTACTTCTTATGGTGAGTACCAACGTTTTATCTGGTGAGTGCTTTTGAACTTTACAGCCTTAAAAACCGATCATATTGAGATAAGTTTTGGACGCAACAAGGTGCGACTCGGATGCTATGATAAATTAGTAACCTGCGTACTTAGAATGTGACCAGGCCTTGCTTTGATTTGTCACATAGTGGCTTGAGACTTTGTGATGTTGTTACATTGACGGTCTTTTGTTTATCGTCTGGCGTAACTCACGGAATCATTCTCGCCAGCAGATTCAAAATTAAGCTCGATTGACCGAGACAACGAGACGCACTTCCCTTTGAGAAGCAAAAATAGGCCTTTAGAGGCCATTTCCCTCCCCCACTCCCCCCTTTTCCCGCCTCGACGCTCTAAACGGAATCAGGCTGAGAGGTACTTGAATGGATTATTATATATTAATTATTAATGATTAATATGAATTAATAAGGGCAAATAATCATCAAGTAGTTAAAAGTTAGTTACATCCTTCCTGCATGTAAGATGGATTCCAAGCTAAGCTTTGTACATAGGGGGCTGACGGTAACTGTGGTAACTACATGCCAAATATGAGCAAATGGCTAAATCGTACTCAACAAACTAAATACTTCACAACATTTTGACGCCCATTTCTATGCAAGTTAAACACCACAATTGTCACTAGCAAGTACTTCTGGTTTTCATACCACAACGATAAAGCAATAAGTAAATTAAGGAGTGCCCCGCTGATTGACCTGACCCTGTTTCGATTTTTGTTGCAAGGAGTTTAGAGATCGACGCTGTGAAATGTTCCTTTATTGCATAGATTTCTTTCTCTGGGTTACTGGATTTTCTTTAAAATGAGCTATGCCACTTTTTGACCAAGGAAGCTTATCATGGGAAAACTTGTGAAAGGCGAAACTTAGAAGTGTAGTATTTTACAAGGAGATTATACAAATAAACTACGGATAGAAAGAAAATTCTAGTTCAGAGCACTAACTTCAGAACATACTAACTTCGAAATAGACTTCACAAGTTCTCTTTAAAAATATGTATGGCGAGCAAAATTTAAAGATTTATAAATTAGAATGGCATGTGGTGTTTAGTAGAAATAAAGACAGGGATGTAACACAGGGGTAGGAAGGTGGAATCCATGGGTGCATTTGACCCCTAACCCTACCCCATTTTACTTGCAGAGGAAATAAATTCCATGTCCTCAAAAAAAAACATTTCTACTTCGTAGCTGATTTCATTTGGAGTCAAGACAACTCTGCTTGTATCTGCTGGTATTTTTTACCAATGCACGATGGATTTGACGCGTTCCTCACCCAAAAAAAATATGTAACAACATTTAAAATGTATTGATTTGTTTTGCGTAAATATCAGTCCAGGAAAAGAAATTTTCATCTGCGCATTGCATTAACTCAGCAAAATCCTAAAGTCCTAGTACATAACTATTCCAATTCAAAAAAAATTCTTAAAACAACAACTAATTTATCCTTGATAAACGAGATAGACTTCAAACTTACAACCAATCCAGCTGGGTGTTGTTACTGAAAATTCCTGGTGGTAATCTCTTCAACTGGTTGTCGTTCAAAAACCTACCAAAGGTAATGCAAAGGGGTATTGATTACATTGTGCTAATAAGCATGGTACGGGCACTTTGTATGCTCAAAAAAGGCCGTATTTTGTTCATGTTATAATCTGCTAACAAAGTCATATTGTCCAAGAACCGATGTCTTCTTTTCGGGTTGACACATAGAGACTTAGGGTAGCACTACGACTTATGATCTGGTATAAAACTGATTGAGACTCCTTGGCTTTTCTTTTTTTGGTAAGAAGTGAAAACAACAAAACGCTTACACACTGTTCATGATTCAGAATAATGTCCATCATAGGCCAGGGGACACTGATTGCAGGGAGAGGGAGGGAAAGATTCCAAAATGTCTGGATAGTTTTGTTCAAGATTACATATATAGTGTCTTCATTTGTTCCAGCACAAATGATGACGCTTATAGGGAAGCTTATCATGGGAAAACCTTTGCAAGGCGAAACTTAGAAGTGTAGTAGTGACAAGGAGATTATACAAAAAAAAATTGCGGATAAAAGGAAAATTCTAGTTGAGGGCACTAAATTCAGAACATACTAGCTTCAAAATACACTTCACGAGTTTTCTTTGATAACTTGTATGGCGAGCAAAATTTAACAATATTTAAATGGGAAT